GCGGGAGTGTGTGTGTGTGTGTGTGTGTGTGTGTGTGTGTGTGTGTGTGTGTGTGTGTGTGTGTGTGTGTGTGTGTGTGTGTGCTGTGAATAACTGAATAACTGAAAGGGGAAAATTAATAAAAGCCTAAGGCCCAGACTCCAAAACCCAAATAAAAAACTCTTGAGTTCCCAAAAGGCAGCCCAGCAGACAAGGTTAAACAAAGGTCCACAGGACTCCAGCCCTTAGACCAGATCTCACACCCCAGAGCTGTGTGGACATTTCTCTAGTCCAAAGAGGATCAGATAGTTATCAATTGTAGACGTCCCCAGCCCAGGAGACAATTAACAAACTCATTTCCTCTTCAGCATCCTGCTTGTGTGCACCTTTCCTGAAGCATACAACCATTGTCCTGTCCTGTGTAACCACGGAAGTTCTGTAATCTTGGGGCTTCCAGCCCTATAATTTCCCCTTATAAAAACACCCCTCAGTCAAAAGTGGGTACTCCATTTGTTCCCGAACGAATGAGGTCCTTGCTGCAGCTCGTATCCTTGAGCCAATAAAGAAACCTGTGTCCTTACATTCCGGTGAGTCAGCTCCTTGTTGGCGGGTTCTTTTTGGGTTCTGAAATCTGGGCACAACATAACTATGTGACAGGCTCCAGCTGTGACAGACAGTGTGTTATCTTGTGTCACCGTGGGTGTGCATGTCTGTGTCCCTGCTTGTGTGTGACTGACAGGAAAACTGAATGGTTGTGATGGTTTGTGATGTGCTCCTGTGTGTAAGTTTTCGAGAGAGCAGACTGTGACTTCATGTGTGTGTTTCCATGACTGTGTGTGTGTGGCTATAACCGCACTGACCATCTGTTTCTTCAGGCATAATTGTGACAAGAAACAAATATATGACCTTGTGAGGTATGCGCTATAATTGTGATTGTGTGTCAACTGACGCTCTGCTGTGCATGCCCCCTCCCCACTAATGTGACTGTTTGAGAGATGGCGGATTCGAATGTGTCTGTGCAGTTCAAGGTGGGACTGGGTGAGAAAGTGAGTGTGGTAAGTGTAAGCCTTTTGGATGACTTGGATGGGACAGGGATCCTGGAGCTCGAGAGTCACAGAATACTAAGTGTTACACAGCTCAGTTGGAAAGGTGTCCTGGAGCTGGGGAGCCAAGGAATACCACAGGTCACAGTGAGCACAGCAGCTTACAGCCCTGTTTCAAGGGGGGTGGGGCGGCTTCTTCCCCAGTGTATCAGATCTGCTTGCCAGAAAAGGGCTTCTCTTGCGAAGTTGTTTTGCTCCAGTCCCCTGGAGTGTAACAACTCTGCTCTGTCAAGGGAGCAAAAGAAGGTCTTCACCCAAAGCTCCTTCAGGGATTTTATTCTTAACACAATAATGTGGGAACACAGGGTTTATATAGTTTATATAGTTTTTCCAGGTGGAGGGGATTGGTCAAATTTGAATCCCTGCACTGATTGGCTAGCTCTCCTGTTCAGGGATTGGTTAGTTTTCTGCAGAGGTTTAGGGTCAGATTGGACTCTAGTTTCAGGGCCAAAATGTGTTTCTTTTACTGGTCTTTTTGGCTTTTTGGCTGTAGTTTTAGGGCCAGGGTGTATTTCTTTCACTGGCTCTGATTCTAGGGACAAATTGTGTTTCTTTGGCACTGGTTTCAGAGTCAGGGACATTTCTTTGGTTCTGGTTGCTGGGTCAAGGTGTGTTTCTTTGGCTCTGCTCAGTGTGTGTTTCTTTGGCTAGATCCTTTTCCCTACAGGGAGATCACGGGTCTGATGGGCTGGGACCTACTTTGTGATTACAAGGGGTAGAGAAATTAAATTTACTTGACCAAGAGTGGTAGAAACATAAGCTCTTTGGCTCTAGACTTCTTTTTTTTTTTTTAAAGCTTTCTAATCAAATCTTTTTATTTTATGTGTATGAGTATTTTACCCAGAATGTTCGTCTGTCTATCATTTGAATGTCTAGTACCCTGGGAGACCAGAAAAGGGTGTTGGATCCCCTGGAACTGGAATTACAGAAGTTTCTGAGCCACCCTTTGTATGCTGGGAACAGAACCCTGGTTTTCTGAAAGAGCAGACAGTGCTCTTAACTGTTGAGCCATCTCTCCAGACACCTACTTCTCGCTTCTGATTAATAAATTGCTTTTGTTCCTGCTCCCCCACCCCACCCCAACACACGTATTTTGAGGGTTCAAAACAGGAGAATGTTGGAGAGAATCATCTCTGGAACTAGGGACCCTTAGGCCATGGGACTTGGATATGGTCATTTCCCTTCAGTCTGAATCACAGAATGGAGTTCAAAGACACTGTAGTGAGAACACACTGAAACTGGCTTCTTTCAGGAAAGGTTATAAATCCATCTCGAATCCCATCTTCTTCCCTGTAAAGACATGGAGTTTGAGATCTTAGTTTGTCCATGTCAAAAATTAGGTCATTTTTGGTACCGAGAAAGACTTAGTTCACTGTTCTTTGAATGCTTTACCAAATAAGCTAAAGTTTAGGTTTTGGCTTTTGCATTTAATAAAGAAAAATGTTCCCATTTTTATTTCCAAATGTGAAAAATATAATATAGACAATAAAAGATAGGATTTGTGTGCGCTAAGTGTCTTGGCTCCTGCAGTCGTAACCATGGGGAAAGAAAACTTCTGAATGGTTTGCCTCCTGTCACATAACCAAGCACAGGAGTTGAAGAGTCAACTTCAGACGAGAAGCTATACAAATCTGTCTTTCCCATTACACCTTTTTGAGCAAAGACTGATGCTTGATTAAATTTAGAAACATATCAGCAAAGATACGTTCATCTGATGTTCTTTGGATACGATATCTGATACAGATACCAGAATAGAACAGAAACTTGAAAGCAGTTCTTTCAGACAAGTGCCACTTAAGGCTCCTTCCAGCTGCCAGCAGGAATGCAGTGATTTCCAGCTCAGGTTGAAGAGGCTTTTTATAGGCTATTTCACGTTGTATTGCATTAAAGAGATGACATTCCTCAGGACAGCTGGCTGGTGCTGTGCATCCCGGAATTCTAGGTCAAACACGACTCTCCCATTTTCAGAATGAAGGCATGTTGGCTTTCAGAGGTCTTCACGATATGTAGGTTGCTATGGTGACGTTTCACTCAGACTGGG